CTCCCCACTCTCCCCAGGTTCTGCCACTTTTGAAGGTTGCCCTGGTCACCATGACCAGCCTCCTGCCTGGGAATTAGCCAGTGTTCCTTAAACATGCAAATCTAGTGCTCCTCCACCAAGCTCTCAGGTTTCTGAAGAGGTAGGAGGGCTCCAAAAGCCCTGACCTCTTAGAGCTTCCCAGCCTGTCCTGACTTAACCTCACTCCCCAGGCTGACTGATCCCCAGGCTGCTGCTCAGCCTTTGTCTGAAAAAAAACTGTCCATCTAACCTGGAAGGTGTTACATATTGCCCCCAAGTGATAGGTGTAATCTATTCAAGGGTGCACCCTAATATAGGATTCTGATAGTACTTAGCACATTAAAGCCTTCTTAGATAAGAAGGTATTCACATATCTCATTCCATTACATAGCCCCAAAGTATATGAGGATTATTTCTCATTTCAGGACCAGGGGCAGAGCCATGCAAATCGTTCCTTTTCATACCATCATCCAGCACCCCTGGTGTATAGTGTAATTATAGCCTAATAGTATAGAGCTTTTTTATTTCAAACTGCATTCAACTGTTTCTGGGTTTTTTGCCCACCATCAGTGCAGTGTATGGAAACTATGGCATCTATGAAGTAGGATTTGGGACCCTCCAAGTCCATACAGATTATGGGGTTTAAAAAATCAAAAAGCCCTCCAACCAAATCAGTGTATAGCACAGTAAAATCTGCTTAAAAGATAAGGTATTCACATGTCTTCTGTTCTAAGAAGGCTTTAATGTGCTATGGTACAAGAAATGGCCACTGCCCAAGTCTATAACTGGCCTTCACAGTAAGGAGCCAGCCAGCCTGCAAACAAACCGAATTAACCTGTCTAACAGTATGCCTTAAAAACAGGGGTTTAGTTAACACACATTTGCAAATACATGCGTAAGCCACAGAGCCTCATCATGGCACCCCGGTATTCTGTAGTTCCTAACTTTACAATTTCAAGAGCCCCCATAGTAGAGGCACATGTATTTAATGGATAGACCAAGGGCAGGTGGACCTAAGGGAGCCCACCTGTCAGGGATCCCCTCGATCCCCGCCGCGATGGTCCCGGCGCAGGCGCAGTGCACCGCCCTGCGCATGCGCAGTAGAGGCCGCGGCCGCCCGCTGGGCACCAATGGCAGAGCAGGGCGGGATATTTAAATGTCCCTGAGCTGTCATTCAGTGCCTTCTGGTCCTACCTGTATCCTGCGAATCTGAACCTGTGCCTAGTAAGTTATTTGACCCGGATTGCTCTTGACCTCCTGATTTCTCCTGCCCAGACCCTTGCTTTGCCTGACCTCTCTCCTGAATGCCCCTCATTAGATCTGACCTGCTGTTGCTGACCTGGCGTGTGACCCGACGATTCTCTGTCCGCTCCCTTGTACCATACCGTCCTCTACGTTACCAACTCAGCCCGTCTGACTTCGCACTTGCTCAGCCATCCATCTATCCATCCCATCGGGGTCATCCGACCTCCTCACATCTGGCTCTCCCTGGTTGGAGCCCCTGGCGAACACTCCTACCACTGACAGGTGTGCTCAGTTGTGGCGACCTGGTCCCGGGGTACTCCAAGTCCATCCCTACCATCAGGGGCTCTGGTGAACAAGTACCCTGGGGCTTAGACTCCACGCTGTGGGCACGCCTGACCAGTGGAGTGCTAGTGGTGCCGCTCGGCGGTCCCTCACACCACCCCTCCTTAAAGGTACACGAGCGCACTGGACACCCAGCATGTAGCACAATGGCAGCTAGGGTGTCCAGTGTGTCCCCTCAAACAACAATTCAATAGTACAAGAAATGGCCACTGCCCCAATCTGTAACTGGCCTTCACAGCAAGGAGCACATGGAAGGATGACGCATGTCAAACAACAAAAAAGAAAAATTCCCAGCTCTACCTTGCCAGCCAGCCTGCAAACAAACTGAATTAACCTGTCTAACAGTATGCGTTAAAAACAGGGTTTTAGTTAGCACACATTTGCAAATACATGCGTAAGCCACAGAGCCTCGTCCCGGCACCCCAGTATTCTGTAGTTCCTGATGCTACAATTTTAAGACCCCCCATAGTAGAGGCACATGTATTTAATGGATAGACTAAGGGCAGGTGGACCTGAGAGCGTCCATCCCTCCTTAAAGGTGCAGGAGCGCACTGGACACCCAGCATAGTGGGGTGCCGTGACGAGGCCGTGCCGTGGCTTACCTCCTGTATAGTAGTGGGGTTGAATGCGGGAAGTAGCGATTGTCCCTGTGGATGTGGAGTGTCAAATAGGGGAGGTATCTGCGCATCAGAGATCTCCTCACAATTTGTATCGATTTTCCTTTTGAAGCGATTGGCAATCTCCTGAGCAGTGAGTGAGTTAGTGGTTGGAGGCAGTGAAGGATGAAGAAGACCTTGAGCTTGAAGGTAGAGAAGTGTTGACGGGGACTGGATGAGCAGGTGTTAATGAGAGTAATGAAATGGGTCTGCTTGGCAGTGTGGAGGCAGGAATAGTATTTCTGGAGGGCAGATTCATATTGGTTGAAGTCTTTCTGAGACTCAGTCTTAGGCCACAGACACACAAGAGCTCAGCTATGTTTTCTGAGACCTCTGGTGTCATCTGTTTGCCAAGGTTGTAGGGATTGGGGCCTGATTGTGTATGTAGTGAGGGGGTGAGCTTGTCTAGGAAGGATGAGAGTGAACTGTTGTAGACAGAAGTGGCTAGATCTGGGCAGGACAGGGATGATATTTTTGTCATAGAGGTGGTCAGTAGCAGAGTAGAGAAGAGAAGGGTTGAGGTGGCTAAGGTTTCTACGGGTAACTGTTAGGTGGCTGGAGGGAGAGGAGGTGGGAGAAAAGGAGAGAGTGAAGCTAATAAGGTGGTGATCAGAGAGTGTGAGAGGGTTGTTGGAGAGGTTGCATGGAGTACAAGGAAGAAGATAGAAGTGTTGCCATTGGAGTGAGTAGAAGCCTGTATCCATTGCTTCAGGCCAAAAGAGGTTTTTGCATTAAAAGGGATGTTGAAGTCACCGAGAATGATTGTGGGGATTTCAGAACAGAGAAAGAAGGGTAGCCAGGCAGAGAAGTCATCAAGGAAGGTAGATACCGGTCCAGAGGGCTGGTAGATCACAGCAATTCTTAGAGAAACAGGAGAGAATAGATGTATACAATGTGCCTCAAAAGAGGAGAGTGTCAGAGAGGGAGGTTGGTGAAGTACCTGATAGGTGCTCTGTGGGGCAAGGAGGATTCCTATTCCACCTTCCTTCCATCCACTGGGCCTGGGAGAGTGAGTCCAGAGAAGGCCACCATGGTAAAAGAAAGCAGGGGAAGCAGTGTCAGAATCATAAAGCCAGGTTTCAGTAATGGCAAGTAGGTTAAAGGAATTTGTGATAAAGAGGTCATGGAGGAAGGCGAGATTGTTACAGAGAGCACAGGAAAAGGGGGAGGCTGGCTGGGAAGAAGAGGAATGGAGACTAAGTTCTGTGGATTGCGGCTACTGCCAGAGGGTGCAGGGTGATGGGAGCGTTGGGCACACTTAATTGATGGAGGCCCAGGGTTTGGGAATATATCTCCAGAGGTTAGGAGAAGCAGAAGGGTGGGGGAGGTAATATGGGAGTGCGATTTATATGAGGGGACATGCCTCAGCGTCCTGGAGGTTTTATAAGCATGTGGAGTTATAATTAGTAGGAGTTGGTGAGTGCAGTAATAGGGAGAAGACAGAAGGGAAGGTAATGTATGTAAACTGTGGAGTGGAGAAGAGGGATGAAGGAAAGAAACTTTCAGGGGAGCAGACACAACTGTCAGGAGGAGTGGTAGAAAATGCATGCTACAGAGTAGGAGAGCAGAATAGAGAGAGGGTCACCTGCAGACTGTTTGGTGCTTTTCAATGCAGTTTGCTATGTATGTTTGCTTCGTGCAATTGCTGAAGTGCAGAGTCTAAATGCAAATCACTTGTATAAAGAATCACGTCTAGAAAGAATCACAATCACAGCTAATCACATTAGTAAACATTGAATGAATAGTTTTTTATTCAGAAAAACTGGTTGTTTACAAATGTAAAATTCAGTTTTAAGCAATCACAGTATATACAAAAACAAAATCCTGATCACCTCCCTAAAGTAGTACAGTGTAACTATTGTAACACTCTTTTGTTCTGGTCACTGTATGTAAAAAAAATTATAAAAGAAAAGAAATGTAATAAAAAAGAATTTAACATTTGAAAAAACAATTACCAGTCAAACCAGTGTCCCTGATTACTGCCACACCAGTCATATGATGACACTGTACTGCACTAGTGATTATTTCTAATTTCTTAATTTTCCCAAAAATTGTGACAAAAAAATTACAACTTCAAAAAACTCGTCATGCCTCATTACTGCATGGGTCCCTATTGAGGATTTTTCTCACTTCCTGCCTGGAGAAACTATTGACAGTGAAAATGGAATCTCTCTATTGGAGTCATAAACAGAAGTGAAAAAGTGAAAAGGATTTATAATCCTTCCCCACCCCTCAAAAAACGGTTGTAATTACTCTTTAAACTTGATGTAGAATTATATCTGCTGGCACAATCTTGTCCATGTGACTATCAATTTCAGAGCTAAGGGATTACCTAGGCTCCCATGGACCTAAAGGCTGGGTGAGCAAAAAAAGCCCAGCTTCTACTACAGTATCTATAGCTAGGTGGTCAAGTCATCTCAGATTTTCTACAAACAAAAAAAAAAAAAGAATTGCCTCCCTTAGGGTACTTATAAGCTGCCAGCACCAAAAAATATGTGATACCAAATTCCAAATAACTGTTAATATCTCACATTTTTGTTAAATTATTGTTTATTGTTTGTCATATATAGTTTACTGTTTAGTCACAAAAAAACATACATATATATTTTTAGGCATGATTATATATCAGCACTAACCACCAACTTGCATTTACTTTCTGCAGATACTCAAATTCTGGGAGAAGGTCAGGGCCTGCAAACACCAAGCTCTTTATCACCAGAATTCAAAGAAAAGATAGTGACAAGTCCAGCTCCAAGGATTAGATTTAACCCCACAGTTCCCAATATTGTTCTCTCAGAACACAAGGATGTCAAGATCAATTGCACCATTGTTGTGCCAAATTTAAACAGCGGAGAGCAAATAACGTGGTGGAAAGATGGAAATTCAATTCAACAATCTGACCGAATCTCTGTGCAGTCTTTTGAAATCCAAGATATAACGGTGACATCTATGGTATCTTCATACAGGTGAATGCTAAGCACTGTACATGTTTATTGGTTGAAAATGAGGATATAAAGAGTAAAGTGTCTTGTTGTTTTTAAGCAGGGCTGTAACTTTTAAAATTTGGTATGGGCAGAGCAGGGGCGGACTGACAACTCATGGGGCCCCCGGGCAATAGGAAATTATGGGGCCCCTGTGTCCTCCCCACACCAAAAAAAGCCTATGAAAGGTACCAGGGGCATCTCATGGGGCCCCCTACTGACCCTGGGCCCTCGGGCAGTGCCTGAGTGCCTAAATGGTCAGTCTGCCCTTGGGGCAGGGAGGCCAGATGAGCCCATGTCTGGCAGACACAGAGGATTTATCATGATATCCTGACTGGGACAAACAGAATTGACTTCTGGCGAGGTTTTTTTATTGAGTACCAAAAGCAGCCATTCTCAACCTTTCCAACACAGAGGAACCTTTGAAATAACTTTCCAGTCTCAGGGAACCCCTGCTAAAAATTACTATAACTAAAACTCACTATGCATTAGTGTGATGGTCAGTGGGAAGAATGCTCCTTACACTCCCTTACAGATAGCTAAAAATATCAATGGTGTCAGTGGGAGTTTATCTGAGAAGCAGAAGTTGCTCATTGCTCAAGGAACCCCTAGCAACCTCTGGAGAAACCCTGGTTGAGAAACCCTGACCTAAAGACGTGAAGTTACACTACCATCTTGGCTATTGTCTGTGAAAGCCTCCTCAACCAAGCACTGTATTCTTAGAGGGTTGGGGTAACATGTTACATGTGTCTTATACCTAGAAGAAGGAGAGGGTAACTCCTATACTATATAGTGGGAGGAGCATCACAGTTCTTTAGTTTAGGTCTTTTTTATGGGTTTAATTTAAGGCACAGGGACACATACCTGCTGTAGTGAATGACAGGTCTTTGCTGTACATACACACGCCTGTACATCTACAGTTACAAAAGTGCACATACATACCAAACTCTGCAAAAAGGATGTTGTCAAAAATACATGTCTAGTAGTAAGAGGAAGGGTTAAAAATTCTGATATACTTTTTTACGGCTTTCTGTCTCTGTGGCAACCACTCCCTCAATTTTTTGTATAGGCATCAAATGGACAGGAACTGATTAAATATCCCCCTAAAATAGTCATGGACAAAAATTAAAATTTGACAGATTATAACTCTTTTAAATTTTGATTTGTCATAAAATCTGTAATACTTTAAAATCCATGGCCAACGGCAGAAAATGGTGAGCCAGTACGCTGTTCCCAATTACTGTCAACAATATGGCTGTAAGGCCACCAAAATACCTGGCGATGAAGAGGTTAATGCATTTACAGCTGATAGCTGTAGCTGGTGGTAGAAGTTGCATGTATAATTCACAAATATTTGTATTCTTGTTTAATATTACCACGTGAGCTGGTGGAGCTATACATTTTATATTTTAGAATGCTTATATGAATATAAAGGCTTGATAACTGCACTGAATTAATTACCTATAAGAATGAACTTCATTTAAAATACTGTAAATACATAAGACTCCTTAATTAGCCACTAATTATTTTTTAATATTCTTATGTAAAGCATTACAGGCGTGATGCGATCTGATAATGGCACATACAACTGTAAATTAAGAATTGAGGATGAAGAAATAATTTCAGATCCTATCTACATTCAAGTGGAAGGTAAGGCCGTATGTCTGTGAATCTCCATGTTTTCATGTAAAAGAAAAATAGTCATGACAGTCTTGTAAAAAATCAGTAAAATCATATTGGGGACCAGCAAGTATAGCCATGTTCTGGTAAAAAGTTAATGAACAGTAAAAAAGAGATATTTCAATCAAATTTAGATATGAGGAGAATGGTCTCCCACATGGAAGAAAAATAGATTTGAAATATATTTAAAAAATATACTTCCCAAACATATTTACATATACTACAATTTTGGCCATATTCAATATATATATATATATATACAGTCATGGCCGAAATTGTTGGCACCCTTGATATTTCTCCAGGAAATCATGTATTTCTCACGAAACGTATTGCATTAACACATGTTTTGCTATACACATGTTTATTCCCTTTGTGTGTATTGGGACAAAACAAAAAAAAGGGAGGAAAGAAAGCAAATTCGACATAATGTCACACAAACCTCCAAAAATGGGCTGGACAAAAGTATTGGCACCCTTTCACAACTGCGGATAAATAAGAATGTTACAAGCATGTGATGCTCCTGTAAACTCACCTGGGGCAAGTAACAGGTGTGGGCAATATAGAAATCACACCTGAAAGCAGATAAAAAGGAGAGACGTTCACTTAACCTTTGCATTGTGTGTCTGTCTGTGCCACACTAAGCATGGACAACAGAAAGAGGAGACGAGAACTGTCTGAGGACCTGAGAACCAAAATTGTGGCAAAATATCAACAATCTCAAGGTTACAAGTCCATCTCCAGAGAACTAGATTTGCCTTTGTCCACAGTGCGCAACATTATCAAGAAGTTTGCAACCCATGGCACTGTAGCTAATCTCCCTGGTCGTGGACTGATGAGGAAAATTGATGAAAGATTGCAACGCAGAATAGTCCGGATGGTGGATAAGCAGCCCCAAACATGTTCCAAAGACATTCAAGCTGTCCTGCAGGCTCAGGGAGCATCAGTGTCAGCGCGAACTATCCGTCGACATTTAAATGAAATGAAACGCTATGGCAGGAGACCCAGGAGGACCCCACTGCTGACACAGAGACATAAAAAAGCAAGACTACAGTTTGCCAAAATGTACTTGAGTAAGCCAAAAGCCTTCTGGGAAAACGTCTTGTGGACAGATGAGACCAAGATAGAGCTTTTCGGTAAAGCACATCATTCTACTGTTTACCGAAAACGGAATGAGGCCTACAAAGAACAAAACACAGTACCTACGGTAAAATATGGTGGAGGTTCAATGATGTTTTGGGGTTGTTTTGCTGCCTCTGGCACTGGGTGCCTTGACTGTGTGCAAGGCATCATGAAATCTGAGGATTACCAAAGGATTTTGGGTCGCACTGTAGGGCCCAGTGTCAGAAAGCTGGGTTTGCGTCCAAGATCCTGGGTCTTCCAGCAGGACAATGACCCCAAACATACGTCAAAAAGCACTCAGAAATGGATGGCAAAGAAGCGCTGGAGAGTTCTGAAGTGGCCAGCAATGAGCCCAGATCTAAATCCCATTGAACACCTGTGGAGAGATCTTAAAATTGCTGTTGGGAAAAGGTGTCCTTCCAATAAGAGAGACCTGGAGCTGTTTGCAAAGGAAGAGTGGTCCAAAATTCCGGGTGAGAGGTGTCAGAAGCTTATTGATGGTTATAGGAAGCGACTGATTTCAGTTATGTTTTCCAAAGGGTGTGCAACCAAATATTAAGTTAAGGGTGCCAATACTTTTGTCCAGCCCATTTTTGGGGTTTTGTGTGACATTATGTCATATTTGCTTTTCTGCCTCTGTTTTATATTTGTTCCAATACATACAAAGGGAATAAACATGTGTATAGCAAAACATGTGTTAATGCAATACCTTTTTTGTGTGAAATACTTGATTTTCAGGAAAAATATCAAGGGTGCCAACAATTTCGGCCATGACTGTATATATATATATATATATATATATACACACACTGCATTTTGAAATGTGTTCTTTATATATTACAAAATATCTGAAAAAATATATTTGTAAATGCATTCCAAAAAGTTTGATTTGTATTTTTAAAGACATACAGTATATTTGAAAATGTATTTTTAAGAATATTTTTCATAAATTGTGTAAAAAAAAACACATTTCAACATACAGTGTGTGTGTATGTATATATATATATATATATATATATATATATATATATTGAATATATCCAAAATTGTAGTATTTCAAATATATGTCAATATATTTGGGAATATAATTTTTTAAATATATTTCAAATATAATTTTCTTCCATATGGGGTTGTACAGTGGTAAGACCTCCCTGCCTGATTTTTTCAACTCTCTGCTCACCTTCTAATCTTATTATACTTGCTCATGTTCCCACTTCTGATGTTGCATTTTTCATTCTAATTAAAAAAAAAAAAACAGAAACAAATAACAGAATGATTGTTGCAACTGAAAATTAAAGTGCAGAGCTCTCACCACTAGAATACTTTAGAGACCTATTTTTAGTAGTGCAATCTGAAAAGAGGTCTATAATTGTACACAAACGTAGTATATGCAAAACCAAAAGCTCCTTTTTTACCAAAATGTTAGAAAGAAATTGTAATTAGAGTTCTATAACTGGCTTATGCAGTTGAGTACTGGGCAACGTTTGTACTTCGTAAATAATGTACATAGTTTACTATACCTGCATTTACTACAAATATAATTTGTGGCTGGACTGACATTTTAGTCATAGTAGACACCTGACATTTTTTATTACCTTTCATTTAGGACTTCCACATTTCATTCAACAGCCAGAGAGGTTAAATGTCTTTAGAAACACTCCATTCAATCTCACCTGTGAGGCTGTTGGCCCCCCAGAACCTGTCGAAATTTATTGGTTCCGTAACAGCAGAAAAATCAATGATATTCCCGAAGTGTCACCAGCAGTTCTTAGTGTGTTGGGTAAGTCATTATTGCACTAGTACATTTACATTATGGCAAGAGTGTGATGGCAACCAGTTTAAACTTGGATTATTAAAAACCATATACTTATTCTTCATCTTGTAAACTTAATGGGCACCTTTAATTTCCCCAGCCATGTACAAATAGTAGTATTATTATTATACAGGATTTATATAGCGCCAACAGTTTGCTCAGCGCTTTACAATATAACGGGAGACAATAAAGCAACAATACAGTTCAGTATTACAGTTCTGCTCCTTGGAGTTTACAATCTAGAAGATTCTAGATACAATTATAGATACAATCTAGTATCCTTAAGTCTGCCCCATCAACTGTTTCAAAAGCACTTCTCCCTTCCTAAAAACATGTATCCAACATGATTAAACAGTGTTGTTACTTACAACTTTTAACTTACTAATGGGCTAAAAACTAATTTCATTGTCTAACTACCCCTCCTGGCTGCTGATATATGCAGAGACCAGTGAGGAATGACTGTCATTGAGAAGGTGTCTGGACTGTGCTTGTTTTGGTTGACAGGCTGGGTCCACCTTATCAGAGACAACTGGGGACACGAGGCTGGGAATAACTGAGTTTCATGGGTTATACTTTAGCAGAGTTTTTTGTTCACTGATGATTATGGATTGTTAAATTGTTTGTAAGCTGAATTGTTTGTATATGGCCGTGGTTTCTGTAATCATTGGAAAAGCAAATTAACTTTGCTGGTCATTCTTGTAAGGGGCACCCCCTAGCGCCTATGTTGTTAACCCAGTTCTCAGACCTAAAGAGGGCCTGTCAAGGTCCTACCTTTTCCCTGAGGTTATGTTACTCCATGTGCTGGCGTCCATCTTGGATTCTGCTGTGCATGGTGGGAATCCTTTTATGCCTTCAGGTCTCTGAGGTCCACCCCCCAGAGGGGCGTGGCTGATGACATATAAGCCTGTGGCCCGCACATGCTCTTTGCACTTGTGTCTTGTGTCTTTGTGTTGCTATTACTCTGTTCTGACTCTCGTGACTCTCCTGGTATCTGATTCGGCTTGTGACTTGACTATTCTTTGTATTCTCCTTTGATCTGACCCTCTGTTGCTGAACCCGGCTCGTGACCTGTGATTCTCGTCTGCTGTCCTGTACTGTTTTGTCCTGTTGTTGTTGACCCCGGCCTGTCTGACTACTCTTTTGTCTCTTCCACCAGCTACACGCCATTGGCGGCGGCCATTACCGCAGCTGAGGTGTCTCAGGGGCCGCGACCTGGTTCCTGGCTGCGTCAATTCCATCCCACCATCAGGGGCCCTGGTGAAGGGCAGCCTGGGACTTAGATTCCGCGCCCTGAGGGACTTCGGTCTGTGGGTGGTGGTTGTCGTCAGCCAGTGCGTTACATTGTTAGGCCTGCCTGTCCGTTCCTCAGCTCCTGCCCTGACAGGGCCCCATGTATATCACAGCTTTTTAGGGGCAGCAGGTTAAGCCCCAGCACCATTTTCAAAGTATAAGCACTTTATTGGTTCCACTTCTCATGCCACAGGCCTGGATAGGAGTCTTCGGTACTTGTAAGTATAGAGGCTTCATGATAATGTGATTACAGGCAAGGTTCTTAGGAGGTCACCACACATATCTGAGATCAGTGAAACATAGGTGCCCACGCATCACATCTGGTGGAGGAACCTTTCGATCACCACCACTCCTATCCTGAACAGGCTGCCCCATATGACAACGCTTGTGAGCAACATGCTGTCCCATACCTAGATGCACCGGGTATTTTTTACTGTTGGAAGCTTTCATAGTATGAGCTACTTATGGGGCCACCATTAAAGTAAACTTGTTTTTTTTTGCCCTTCATTTGCAAAGCACACTTTCTTTAAAATATATGCACTTGTAATGGCCCTAAAAAGTAATATTTTCCTATTTATTTATCAATAATAAAGAAACCTTTGTATTCACAAATTAAATGAAAGATGCAGCTGTAGGGTTTGGCTTGTCTTTGGTGTGGCAAGCTACTTGTTTTAATGCTCATGTCAATGCATCCATAAAAACATTTTTAATTCTTCCCAGATGTAATATATTTAGTGCCATAATAGATGAGAATGAGCTGAACCACATCCCTCTGTTTCACATTCATGAAATCACTCTGGCCTGGCTAATAACTTTAAATGCTACGGTATATACCTCGTGTAGGAACCTCATAAACCTGCCTAGTTCACTGCTGTGCAGTAATGAGTTATTTGACTTAGTGAGTGATGGCTTTAATTAAAATCACTTCTGTCTAAGACAAGCTCTAAAATAAACTAAAGGTTCTTGAAGTCTGTTGTGATTATTTGGGTGAAAGGCGATGCAGAGCTGCAAGTTGTGTTGTGTGACTTCAGAAGGCATAAAATAAATAAAATTGCACTTCTACAGTTACCAATTAACTTACATTATTACAGAACTCGAAAGACCTGGCAACCTACCCTGTAAAATAATTGCTAAGAGAATTCATGGAAAAAGTCGCTTACGAGTGACAGTCCATGCAATCGCCAAGGGTCGGATACGACTGAATCGATAGATAGATTACAGAACTCACCTCGTTGATGCAGGAAAGCAGATTATATTATGGCAGAAGAGGTTCAGTATTGGGAAATATAAATATATGCACTAGGGTGCTAAAAAATACTCATTAGAAGGGGCTATCTGGGAAGAATGGTGAAGGGGAAAGGTTTAGGGGTCCCTGTAGTTCACAGGCTTTGCAATATCATGCAATGTCAAACTGTAGCTAACAAAGATAGCAGAATACTCTCATGCATTAAAAGTGTAGCGCCACCCCGCGGGAACTGCTAGTTATGTCAGGTCTTCTGTTGCTGCCTTAGCCTTGATAAATGTCTCAACACTGATTAAGATTTACATCTTAATAGAGGTAGATTAGTAATTTTTCAATACCTTTGAGTCATCCTGAAATTAAACTTTGTAGCAAATATCAAAACATTTTGTTAAGTGGTGATCAGATAAGACAGGCGTTAACAGTGAAACATTTAGCAGCATAAACAACACACTGAGGCTTCACTTGACATATTTAAAGTACTACCACAAACTCAAACCAGATCTGCCAAAATTGTAGCTCTCTTCACTAAATGAGCAGCAAAGGAACCAAAACAGGTACCAAACACAGCTGAGGGCTAGGTTGCTAACGGACTCTGAGAATGAGGGGGCTATGCCTTTGTAAAACAGAATTGGCAATGTACTGGCAGGTGAACTATGTACTTTAAATTTAGTGTTCTGCCAGCTACAAAGGGGCCCTTAAAACATTGGCATGCTTGTTGGTGTTGGATGTTCCTGCACTCTGTGGGATACTCTCAAGAATAATAAACTCTTCAGAACACAGAAGTGTGGGAGGGGCCAGGCAAAGAGTTATGGTTCTATGGCTTAGACCAGCAATGGGCAAACTACGGCCCGCGGGCCGTATATGGCCGGCGGACCTTTTAATCCGGCCAGCGGAGCGTGATACATTGGCTGTCAGGATGTGTGTAGGCGGGGCAGCGTGACGAACGTGAGGGGAGCTAGGCTCCTCTCAGAGTCCGCCCTGAAGACCGGAACGGCGCGGGAACACGGCGAGAGGAACGCGCGGAGCAAAGGTAAGTGAATTGACACAGGGGGGACTTGGCTTACTACTTGGGGGGGGGGAATAAGTACTATGGGGGATGAAATAATATGGGAAATGAATTACTATAGGGGGGATGAATTACTATAGGGGGGATGAATTACTATATGGGGGATGAATTACTATGGCGGATGAATTACTATATGGGGGATGAATTACTATATGGGGGATGAATTACTATGGGGGATGAATTACTATATGGGGATGAATTACTATGGGGGATGAATTACTATATGGGGGATGAATTACTATGGGGGATGAATTACTATATGGGGATGAATTACTATGGGGGATGAATTACTATATGGGGGATGAATTACTATGGGGGATGAATTACTATGGGGGATGAATTACTATATGGGGGATTAATTACTATGCTTACTATGGGGGAATATTACTATACTTACTATGGATGACACATACACATCATTCATCTACTCTTGGTCCGGCCCCTGGGTCCAATATATGAACCCATTGCGGCCCTCAAGTCAAAATGTTTGCCCACCCCTGGCTTAGACTCTGGCCAAGCAGGACTAGCGGTGCTCAAAAGTGGTCAATTGTGAAGTAATAGCAGAAGACAGAGGGTGATAAATCCTTCCAAAAGTTATGAACAAAGTCAACAAACATGTCAATAATGGGACAATGATCTGCTTACCAGCTTCTCCTGATCTGTTGCAGAAGGCTTTTTGGGATTGAGGGGGCCCTCCCTTTGGAGAGGTGTTGATTCCAGGTTGCTTCCTGTGATGATCTAATGAATGGGGCTGAATAGTGAACCCGGCTATATAGCAGTGGTCCTTCAGCAAGTCTGGGGCAGCAGTATCAGGCAGATAATCTGGGTGTTGTGCTCTGGATCCCCGCTGGCATGAATGACAGGCCTCAGAACGGAATTTGACAACAGCAGCTAGCTGCCAACACTCTTTGTCTCAGTCCAGAGATCTGCAGGTAAGCAAACAGCTTTCTGAAGCTTACAGGTCCCACTGGTGATACAGCATACAGGTTCTATCTGGCCTCCTAAGTTCTCTCTCTCTCTCGTGGGTCCTCCCCATCTACACTCACTGGTGGCGATCTCTCAACTGTCCCCACTATTTCACAGGGTTTTATATTTGTATGTCCCCTCCAGGCACACTGGATCTTGTAGTTTCTTTGTCAGCAATGGTAATAGCACTGCTCATAGTCCAGACTGCATCTCCCAGCATTCAGTGTTCCGTGTTTGAGAATCAGGGGCTCAATGTCCATAGAAACTCCATCTTGTGACGAAAAAAAAGGGACAGCATTTAGGCAATTTTAACAATATTACATTGCAAAATCTACATAGTCCAATAACAGCAATTTTGGTTACATTCAACAGATAAATCAACAATTCTACCTATATACAAAA